TTATTTTTATTATTATTATTAATAATACTGTATTATTATTATTATTATTATTATTATTATTATTATTATTATTATTATTATTATTATTATTATCATCATCATCATTATTACTATATCATAATATAATTGCAACACATACACTTACCATATAGTCATTTCCTGGCCACATTGTTGAGGATATGCTGGTTTTATATAAAATCTCTCTGTTGACAACAAAGAACAACTAAATTGCTAACAGTACATACATCTATGTATATTGGGGGTCCTTGTATAGGTAATATACATACAGTAAATAACGAGTCAAATGGTATCAGATATATGCCACTGAAAACTATCGAGCAATTTCGACTACAAATAATGTTAAGCTGACTGAATAAGTCAAAATCCAACGATGTATTAGGCAGGCACCTTAACGAAATGAAATGGATTCGGACCTTACTGGCGCTTGGATCACCAAACGCCTTCGGGTGTTATGACGTTCTCGCTATGTATTCAATTGCTGGTATATTTAAGATTGTTATTAATTCTTTTTCAGATTCTCATCTAATTAAATATTTTTATTAATTCTTTTTCAGATTCTCATCTATTACGTTTTCTCAGCTTATAGGAAATTCGACTCCGGGCAGGGGTTTCTCCCTCTGCCGGAGAGCGCCAAAATTACTTTGTATACGTCACGAATAGGGGACGAAATCCCTGTGATGTTGGTAATGATGATATTTACGTCCATACTTACTTACGATGATATACTTTTTTATTCAATATATTAAAAAAAAAACAAAGATGATATACTTACGAGCATGCCGGTCCACATCTGCAGGTGATATTTCCTATTATAATCTGATTTTCAACTGCCTCCATACACCTCACTGATTAAAAAAAATTCGAATATTAGGATTGTTCTATAAACATTTCGTCGCTCACACCACGAACTAACACAATTAAATTCAATTGTGTTAGTTCGTGAAATCACAGTAGCGCGTCAAAACGAGCGCGTATTGGTTGTCAAGCAATTTTGTATTCTTTACCACACAAAAAGTCCTTAACGACAGCAGCGCGTATTTTGACGCGCTTTTTTGATTTCACGAACTAACACAATTGAATTTAATTGTGTTAGTTCGTGATGTGAGGGACGATTTTTCCGACTCACTGAATGCGATTTGTGTTTTTGCGTTAAAATAATACGAATATAAATGCTATTGTGATTGTGTGTGTGTAGATTGATTAAAAAAAAACTCATTACAGTATTCTCATATATTTCCGTATCTTTCATTTTTTTCAATATCTTATTTCTATTTTAATAGATTGTTTTACTTCTCCATTGCATCTTTCAGTCAGCGTGACGTCTTTGAATATTTTATTCGTTGACATTATTTTCTTTATTTTTAGCCTACAGTCGGTTGCCTGTCTAATTATTAATTATAAATTTTGCTAATAAATCGGTCACTTAGATTAAGTTATGGACAGACAGATTAGAACGCCTGGTTTCATCTGGCGGAAAGGAGTAATCGAATCTGTACAGGTCCGAGTACCTTCTCCTTTTCTTCAGCGTTTTGACCAGAGTAAGCAGTGATGTTGGCAAGTTTTGGGAGATACACGTACGAATGTGCTGACTGAAGTAAACACATACTGCATCCTACCATCCAAACATTGGAATTTGCTGGTAATAACCTTGATCAATGGTTACCAGTACAAGACATCTAAATCGAAACGTGGTAGCGATAAAATCTGTGAAAATGATCCATCTACTAAGAAAAACATAAACCTGGGCCCGAACACTTGTGTTAATACAGCAACGTCGGCGGCAACAGAGACACTGGTTTCCGAGTCATTGTCATCGCCGCCACCAGGCCCCCTTCAAAACATCTTAGCCGATGATCCACAGTTGATATCGATAGTAGCAACCAGTATTAGCAACCGTCTTCTGTCCTCGCCAGAACTGTTTGAAAAAATTATTAACGCTATTTGTGAGCGAAACACTATATGAGGAATTAGTAAACCTATTTTGGAGAAAGTTAGAAAAAATGTTGCTGCTAGTGTAGCCTACGAAAACCAGAGAACAGTGGGCGACATTGTTGAATTGCTGGAACACAATAATATCCTGGTAGCGGAAAACCGAGCAATGGGTGAGAATTGATGAGCTTGAACAAAAGGCGCAACTGTCTCCTGTTGCACGGCGTACCGGAGTGAAGTCATGAAGATACGGACTCTATTAGCATTGGATATTATTACTTTTAAGATCACCGATGATATTGTGCTCTCTGACTTCGATCGAACACACCGGCTCGGCAGGAAGAAGCGCAATCAATCTAAATCATCTAAGTCAAGACCCATAATCATCAAATTCACCTCGTATATATATTGTACACGCACAGATGTCTTCAGGAACAAAAGATCCCTTAAACAATCTGTTTTTTCTATAACGGAAAACATAACACCAAAACGTCTAGATTCTCTTCACAAAGCCAGTCGAAATGATACTGTCGAATCTGCCTTCGATACTGTTAATTCCAATCTTCCCATGTTCCAATACTTTGCTGTGAATAAACTCTCAATAAATTATAAAAAATGTAACTTCATCCTGTTTGGAACCCCTCAGAAATTAAGAAATATTGACCACTCAACACAAAAGACTTTTACTGATAATTCTGTCATCCCAGGGAACAGTGTAATTTCACTGTTCCCTGGTCATCCCCCCTGTTCAATCAGCAAACTGTTTTATTTTAGGAGTATATTTAGACAAGCTTAACATTTGAAAACACATAACCGAGATAGAACTTTAAATTTCCAAAAGCCTTTTTACCCAATAACATCCTCCGTATCCTCTGCTGCTCACCATTCTTCCATATCTGAGCTACTGCAACATTGTCCGGGCCAATACATATTTATCCAACATCAACAAACTCCAAATTCTTCAATAGAAGGCTATAAGGATCATAGCTGCCACCACGGTCTCATTCTTCCCATTTATTTTCCAAATTGAATCTTCTCAAATTCACTGACATTAATTTAGTTCATCGAGGAAAATGTGTATTCTCTGCAACGCATTCTATACTACTAAATTATTTATGCAATATGTTTATTCCCAATTACTCTATTCACAATTACACCACCCGACCTAGAACTCATATTCACATACCTTCCTACAACATTAATTATTTTCCAACATAACATTAGATATTCAGGCCCTACAATGATGAAAAATCTCCCTTCCCCAATTCTTAATGGTGTTTCTCTTGAAAAAATTTCAAAGAAAATCAAACTGCACCTAATGTCATACTATTAAATTATTATATCCTCCGACATAATTCGATTTGTTCTGCTTTTAAATGAACTTCAGTTGTTATTTATTTATCTATTCATTCATTCATTCATTCATTCATTCATTCATTCATTCAATTTCCCCACCCGAGCTAGAAGTAATATTCACATGCCTTCCCACAACACATATTATTTTCAACATAACATTAGGTACTCATGCCCTACAATGATGAACAATTTCCCTCCCCGGATTCTTAATGGTGTTTCTCCTAGAACATTTAATGTCATACTATTAAATTAATATATCCTCGGACATATTTCGATTTGTTCTGCTTTTAAATGAACTTCAGTTGTTATTTATGCATTCATTCATATGAATTAATTAATTATTTATTTAATTATTACAAAATTATTTAATTAATTAATTATAAAAAAAATTTAATTAATTAATCAATCAATCAATCAATCAATCTGTCAGTCAGTCAGTCAGTCAGTCAATCAATCAATCAAATCAACCAATCAATCAATCAATCAATCAATCTATCTATCTATCTATCTATCTATCTATCTATTTATTTATTATTTAATTTAATTTAACTAACACAATTGAATTTAATTGTGTTAGTTCGTGATGTGAGCGACGATTTATGCACTTAACCTAGGGTATTTTCAAGGGAAAAATCCTTTTTCCCCAAAAGTTAATCATCTCTTTCGTAGATTATTATGAACCATTCCACTAAATTTTATGATGATCCTTTCCTTAGTTTTTGCGTAATCTTGCTAATTATGGAACTTTCGATTGCACGACACAGTAACAGTGGACGTAAAAGACGTCACTAAAAAAAATTCTTCTGCGCATGCGAGAACGTTAGTTCCCATTGTGCTATTTTGTGCAGAGAACGTAGGACGGTTACGCATAAGTGAATACGTTCTACCGTCACGTCGTTAAATAAAAGCTCGAGCCCTAATGAAATGACATACTCTACGTCCATTCGATTACCTTGATTTTCATCTTCAACTGTGCAAATCGGTGTTGTTTCCGGAGAGAAAACGTACTTAGGATCATAACAGCCACAGTTTTCAAATGTTTCCCTATACATGCAGTCTTTCATACAGGCCTGGATATGAACAAACAAATTAATTATACAAATATTTACTGGGTTGAGGAGCACATCGTCAAATTTCGAATAAAAGCCTCGGGCTTCATTTTTTTTTTTTTTGCGAACTTTGGATGGGCGTCTTTTCGGGATGAGTGCTTTTCGGGGCTCTTTTTTTCAAAGTAAAGAGTTTGGGAATTACTAATACAAAAAGAATAAATAGGGCCACTGTAACCTAACCGGCATTAAATCACCTAAACTGTGTAAGCTAAGCGTGTTTTAAATGAATTGTGTTTCTTTGAAGTACAGTTCGAGATGGACTTCTTTGCGAGGCTATCTTTGCAAGCTATAGTGTGAGGAGGTTGGGGTGTGCGCTTGACTAAAAATGGTCTTCATCTCAAGATTAAATCCATTGGGGGTTCTATTCGAGGTTTTCCGGTAGCTCAATA